CTTGGTGATACCTCTCATGTCCATAACATCTTCAATAATTAAGAGCTCGGATTGTCTGTGAGGTTTGTTTCAACAAGCCCACTGCAAGACCAGGAAATCACAACCAAGACTGCAAGAATAACCAGATCAATCTCAGCCCAATTACCTTACTAACCAAGAGTCACTCACTCCCAATGCACTTCATTGCTCCCTAATTCTGCAGAAATATAGTCTCTGAGTGCATTAGATACTTGTTTCAATAGTTAACTTAGCTCAGAGGTAGGACCCTCGATACTCTCGGTTTTCTCAGAATAAACACTTATCCCAAATCCCACTAGTCATAACAAAACACAGAGCTTAACACACCAATAAAAGCAAATAAAAATCAGCCAAAATTATGACTCTCATTTACTAAGCTTGTGTTTTAGCTGAGGAGGTAGATAGGCTGAATAGATCGGCTTTGGAGTTGTTTCAAGAATTCAAGCAGCAATTCTTCGGTGCATGGTGGAATTAAGGATGTTTGTGTAGACTTAACTCTTACTTTTCGCTTCAAAGTTTTCTGTGATGTACTCCACCTACGATGCAAACACTTACAGAGAACTGTTTTTTGTAACTATGGTCAAGCAATGAGGCCTCTCTCTTCATTTGACATTGCATATGTAATTTGTCTTTATTGGGATTATTTACATCAAAAGCTCTCTTTAAGGTTTCCCTAACCACACTGCACATGTATGCATCTGGACAGAAGAATCACTATGGATTGAAGAAGCTGCTATAAATTCATGTGTGGGGTTAGTTTAGGTTCAGGATTCTTGCAATAGCTTCGGTCTCTACAGGGCCACTGTCTTGTTAATCAACCTCCTTGAGGACTCATAGCGGTTCTTGCTTTCCTCAAGCCGCAGTCTCATGCAGCACACTATGCCAATTTACAAAGTCTACAGGGATCTGCTATGTTTGGTAAGAATGCATCAAATAAGGTTAGACTTCAACTGTGACACCCTGCTTGGTACAAGAAAGTCCAAAGGTTACAAGTTCTTGCGATGGTTATTGCATACTGAGATTTACTGAGTTTAAAGCTATGACTAAACTGATTCTGAAGCCCAGGTTCAGATGTTAGTCCTGGACACATCCAGGCTGTGACCAGATCTGAGCATGAACTGTTTTTCGCCTCCTCCTATCCGCCAGACATGCAGGTGTGCTGGTGGAGTGGGTTGGTAGTGCAGGAGGGAAACAGGACTCCGGGCACACTGTGGAAGTGCCTGTCCCTTGGAGGAGGTGCAGATGAGTTGCGCAGGGAACACACTGCCCAGCAAGGAGCCATCTTCCAGAGGAACATATGGATTGCAGCCCTCTCGGCTTTTCAGTGCTCTGTCTTTGCACATCCGAATGGGAATTGTGTATATCTTGTCCTAAAAGAAGGTAAACCTTGGCTTTATTATGTGTATGGCACTTTCAACAAAATCTGCAAATGGCATTCCTTCTAAATAACGCTTCTAAAAAGCAGAAAATCAATGTTTAACCTGAATGGATCTGTTCAGCACAAAAGGGGAGCACAGAGAGGATAGAAAAGCCTGGATATAGTAAATTGTCGGGGGATTAGCTATGGTTATTGTTATTGTTATTCTTTTTATTAATTATCAATAGCCACAACTGCTACAGGCACTGATCTGCATTGCCAAAGGACCTAAGAGCTGCTTTTGTACTATATGACAGGTCCTTGACTCAGAAAATTGACCTTTCAAGACAAGAGAGAGCAGGTGAATATATCTGACCTGACTGGGCAGTGCAAGAAACCAGTGGGGCAGCAATGCTCAGGCATGAGAAAGAGAGAGTTCAATGCACTCTTGACCCCATCTCTATTTTTTATAGTCCTTGTAGAAAAGGGGGGACTTACTTAAGCAGGGGGATCTCAAGGCAGATACAGAGGTACCTGAGAGAGCTCAGTGGCGCTTCCCGGGTACTAGGGGAAGTATGGGAGAGTAGAATTCATGCAAAACTTAGCAACAGGGCGTTCGAGTCTGCTCTCCTCAGATGAGCAAAAGTGTGAGCCAATATGTCAGTCCTTACTGGTAGATTTGAGGCCTTAAAAGTGGAGACAAATAGTCCTATTTGATATGATAGAGAAAGAGATGTCAGTGGTGAGATGCAAAGACAAATGTGATGTGGGCAAGATGTTAAGCTAGGAAAATGATCTGTGCAGCAGCATGAATGGAGGTAGGTAACACTGCATTTGTCAAAACCGCAGAACAGGATACTGCAGCAATCAAGGTGGGTGATGAGGCGAATTTAGACCAGAATATCTGTGTGAATAAAGTGTTTCATTTAGAAAATGCTTCATAAGAAACAGCCTGCATGATTTAAACGTAGCCTTGGACAGACAGATGCAAGGAAAGTTCAGAATAGAAAGTGATACCCAGGTTACACACCTGGAAGATGGATGGATTGGAGAGGTTATCCACAGTGATTGAGTATACTCATGTAAGGACAAGAGCTAGGGAAGAAAATTATATGATCTCTTTTTGTCATGTTAAGCCTCAGCAGATAGCTAGACACTGATGAGAAGTGTGGCTTTCATGTTCTAACTGCACTTAAACTGCCTCCTACCTCCCATCCTGCAAGCTTGCTTTTTAGCCTGGTTAGCGCGCATCCTTCAGATGGCCATGTCCAATCCTTCACCTTGCATGTCCAAACGCGCTCAAAGCACTGCCAGGCCAGCTTGCAGGTGGCCATCAGCAGCACTCAATAGGCAGCATGGGCACAGTGCAGAGAAGGGCCAGCCAATAGTTGGTTTCTTCAGATGACTTTTTGAATCTTCAGCCAGTCTCTCAGGTCTGCAGACCCCGTTTATCACCTAAAGTATTTTAAGGTCTTCTGAAAATAAGTTTGCAAAGGGATAACTCAGAAAGTAGATGGTGATGTTTTTCATGGTTGGGAAGCAAATTCATACCAGCACATCTTTACTGAAACCAGCAGTGCTACACTAGACATAGCTGAAGTACAAGTTATGTTTGGTGTTGTCCAGATGTAGATTCCTGTAGGCTAGAAAGTTGACTATAGCCCTGGGCAAGTTAATCATACCGTTTAAGAGCACGGAAAATGAGTCCCAAAATAACACAGAAATTCAGCACTTGCATATGAAGAAGCCAATATTGCCTCAGTTCCCATACTGTTGGGAACTGAAGACAGGGACAAACCTGCTGAGCTAAATACATGCTGGGATTTCAGAAGGCCAATCTCCCAAATAGTTCCATATGAAGGAAGGAGTCTGGCAGGTGAGACATGGGGGATCTGGGCTCCTGCTGACATGTAAGACCTAGGGCAGAGTACTCTGCAGTCCTCAGAGGCAGGAATTATTCTGTCCAGCTCCTCACCTAGGTACTGTGCTAGATTTTTTCTTCTTGAACTGCTACTTTGGGAGGACGCAGGATTGCAACTAGCATGATGACCTGATTGCTTGAACGCAGGATTGCAACTAGCATGATGACCTGTGCTAAACAAGCAGGAGATCTTGGGAAAGCTGCTTGTAGTAGATTTTTTTTTTTTTAATCCGCAGTGAAAGATTTTTTGAATACATTCAAAATACATTCATGTGCTTCATGTTTCACTGAGAAGTTATGCGAAAATATTTCTTGAGGAACATGCTCAAGGGAAAACAGGGAAAGTAAACAACTGTGTATGCCATTTTGAAGATGTTCCTTACAGTCCCCAGTCATACAACCAATTCTGCTCTTGACTAGGGACTATTAAATGTCCATGTGCCTCTGCATAGAAGGCACCATTTTTTTCCCTCCATTTCTTGGCTAATGCTAAGAAAGATGAGTTTTCTCGACTGTTCTTTTTAACTGTCCTGTATAGAAAAGGGATTAGTGAGCTTCACATGACATCATATGCCTAATGCATCATGAAAATATAAAAAAAAACTCTTGTGATTTATACTCTGTGCTACTAATTTGTAACAAAGCATCAGTGAGGAAGGCGAAGGACTGTTAAATATTCAGTCGAGTCCTACAAAAGCCTACTTTGTAAATGTTAGCTATGTAAAAACTCTGCCAGTAATGTCATAAGCAATCCATCATAATCACCCTTTGATAAACTCTTTGTCCAGTTCAAGAAGTAAAGCTGTATTTAAGGTATTCATGGAGAAGGGAGAAATGCCTTTAGAAACAACAGCCTTAATGCACTACTAAGCTCTAAACCAAATATTTATAGGCCTGCAGTTTATAAACAATCTAAAATATTTGTATAGTGGATGTACAAGAGATAGAAGCAAATTCAGTAATAGAGGTTTTACCATTCCAGCTACCTTTTTTTGCTGCTTTAGCCGCTGTTACGTCAATAACTGAGTTATTGGCTTAGAAAGAGAACCCAAAAGAACATGAGCTAAAAATATACAGAATGAAAATGGTGCATTGTTTATAAGTTTATCTGCCTCAGATAATAGACAATATCAAAGCTGATTCAAGCTGAGTTCTATCTGGATATATATTAATTTTCACTAAGAAAATAAACTAGAAATTACTAGGATAAAAGAAATAATAATGAAATATGGGAATAACTGCAGATTTTGCACATTGTCATTATATAATGGACATAATGGACATAATGGCATTACATAATGGATTCTAATTAAATCCAGGTGGAAAATGACCTTCCTAGACCTCCTTTCAAAATTAAGATTCTTGACAGTCATGATTAATGGAAACATGCACTTTGCATGGTTTGTAAACCTGAAACATCGTTGTACATTTCAGTTTATAATTTATCCCATTATCTGCTTCTGCATGCATGAAGGTCAGCTGTACTGGTACAAAGTGGCAATGATATCCAGAAGCTCCAGAAGGTTGTTTTCACAGATTTTCAATTATTTCACATGGGTAAATAATTTTGCCTGCTCATTCCTTAGAAAAGTGACAGTCTAAAAGAGTAATATTTTTAACAGCAGAAATTACAATATTCTTCTTCCTTTGCTTTTTAGAGTAACAAAATGGCACAATAACAGAATTATTTTTAAGAATTCCTACCCGCAATATTTCTTCAATGCAGCTGTTATCTCCTGCTCCACTGTCCTGTAAACAAAATGAGAAAAGAGTTTGTTTGTGTTTTAAAAAGAAATAACAAATAGCAGGTTTCAGAAATGGCTGTCATGTGAAATTTATTCAAAATTCAATTACAGCTTCAAGATGAGGCCAAGTCTTTCTAGCATCTGAAAACTGCCAGTGTTTAAAATTCCAAGTTATTCCCCATCTGGGCCACAAGAAAATGCAATAATTGCAATGTTGACATACAACTGCAACATATTTGTATTAAATTCATAGGCTTTTGCTTATGCTACTTTTGCATGTGGTTGATGCTATTTTGAATATTTGCTGTGAACGAGTACAAGCAAAACACTTAGTGCATGTACACATATCCATCATACACATTTATTTACATGAAATAAGTAACATCTGTGTGCATATCCTTTGTGCAGGGAAGACTCTGCAGCAATCCTGTCTGTGTGTAGTCTGATGAGATATAGGGTAGACGCAGCTGTGATGCTGATGGGAGAGCTGCAGAGATTGTGGCACAGGCTGCAACACGGAGCCTGGACTAGTCAGCACAGTATTGATGAGAAGGCTACAATCTCCTGAAATCTGGCCCCTAAACATACCCACATGGTGTGGGACTGACCGCACGGAGGAATTCAGCTCTTCTGAATTGTACTGCTTACCTGGAGTGGTTCTACAATGGGCAAATGAGAGATTTGGCAGGTCCGTGCTGGGAGTTGCTCTTCCTATACAGCCATCCAGCTGGCACCTTGCCTAATTGCTCAGCTGGGTTGTCCCTGAGGATCAGGTCCGAATGCAGAAAACACAAGGCAGTGGGGAACATCATCCTGCCATGCCATGGAGCCCCCATGGAGCCCAGCGCGACCACGGTGTGGGTGGTGATGGAGGCATGGGAGATGAAGGGGGCTGCCATCTCCAGCAGGTCTCCACAAAGTACAGGCGGCTGCTGCATCAAGCAATGTTTCTTGGGCGTTACTTCAGCACACTATATTCCCTGAAGATTTCCCAAAGCAAAAGAAGATTTTCTTCCTTTTGCGAAACAGAACTAGCTCAGGGGGTGAAGAATGGGGCTGAGGGTCTTGTCACCTGGTTAGAGAGGTATCCAAAAAAGGCAACCTCATTAATTGTCCCCAGAGAGGCAGCCATGGGATGAGCAAGCTCCCATTTCAAGAAAACGCCTAGTGGTTCAGAGGTTCTAGGTGCCCATCTGGAGAAATATCAAAGGGATTTGACTTTCCAAAGTGTGGAGCACTTGCCATCTGGAAATCAGACTCCTCAAAGACGTCTCCATCTGAGCACCCATAAAATCTTGAGGCACTTTCAGAATTGAGTACTTTTGTGTCTACAAGACATAAATGAACTCCCCAGCTAGCCTGTGCAAGGCCTGCTCCATCACACTGTCACTGTCCATCTCCTGACTGTGTTGTGTCATGGAGGATGTTAAACTCGCAGCCACATGTAGCCCAATAGGTTTAACCAAGGTCAGAAGTAAGACCACCACACATAGGCAAAGGAACAATTTATGTTTTGTAATTTTTCTGTAGCTGTTATTTCATGCCAACTCATAGAAAGTTGTAAATGTTTTACTGTCGGCACTTCCACTAAATCTTTGCTGAATATGGCCCTTGATTGTTAAACAAATGAATTGCATTAACTCTTTTTGGTGCAGTGCTGCCAGTCACATGCAGTCATACCATTGATTTCAAAGGGAAGGGAACTGAGCCTACTCTAAAGCCAGTTTGTTCGAGAATTACTCGTATTTGCTGTATTGCTGCTAAAGAAAGACTGCAATCCCTTGAAAATAGCCCCGTTCAGGGCTCCTCATGGTCCCTGAGACACTGCACAACAGCCCCTGCTGCCTTCTCTGCTGCTGCAGTGGGAAGGCAAGCAAAAGAGTTGCTGGTGCCAACAAAGTGGACAAGACAGGACGAAACACACACAGAGCAACAGCACAACAAGCTGTGGACTTTTAAGAATGGCAAGATACTATTTCAGATTAGGGTTATAAACAAGCTCCTGTTTCAAAATTAAATCTCTTTCCTAGACGTGCAACCAAATAGGTCTGCAAATACTTATCAGCAAGAAGCTGCACTTTCTATTATCATATAACTAAAACTACAGCACATTATATCTTTGAGCAGGGAGTAAAAAAAACTTTTCAGGCTTCACCCATCACACTGCCTTATCACGTTGCCTTCCAAAAGACAAAAAAAAAAAAAAAAAAAAAAAAAAAGAAACATTAGATCAAAGATAAGAGATACAAAGATGAAAACACTATTTAGAGAGAAAGTTTCTATATTATCCTTTTTGTTGTTTGTCTTGTGAATGCCAAATGAATATATATTTATATATTTGCTTTGAATCTTGGTTTTCTGGTAAATATCCTACATTGCTGTTGATATCCAAATGCCTAGAATAAAAGTGGAAAACTTTCTGTGTGTGGTCTGCACACAGCAAGCAACTTCAATTTCACATGGTCTGGGACCATATTATATATTTTTTTCATGATATTACTCCATAATGCAGTGCAGAGTGTTAAAATGGGATCCAAAGTGTATCTGCAAGGTGTCTATGGCCCTTGGTATTCAAAAGATTCCCCATTCTCACTCTAAAAGTTTCTCCAACCCACTACAACTCTATTTTCATTACATAGAAGGCAACCTTCTATGTGAACCTTATGAACTTAAATTTAACTTCATGACCATATCTTAATAGAAAAAAAAAGCAGCCAGTAAATGTCTATTGAAATCTACATTAAAGGAAGAGACTATATTACCTATGAGCAACAAATAGCACACAGTGCTTCATGTGCTATGTGCATGAGCGGAGCAGCCTGTTCCAAACAACATGGTCCTGATGCTTGCAGCACACCCCTTGTGCAAGGTTTGTGTTGAAAATGCCATAGAATAAGCAGCATAGTCACTGTGCCGCCTTGATAGTGTGCAAGCCACAAAACAGTGATGCAATAAACATTTCAATTACCTTTTTTTTGAAAAAAAAGGAAGGTTTTGAGGCTGCCGTTCCCAGCCAAGGTGCTGAGTAGCTAGGCTGGTTCCAGCCCTTTACCTCCGCGTGCTCTGCCTGTTCCCTGCCTTCCTGGGCCAGCCTGGCCTCCCAAGCACCCGCGCGTGCGGCGTCTGGCAGCAGGAGCTGCCGCCGAGGAGAGCAGCGTTGGCTGCTGAAGAAATAGCCGGGAGCATCGCGCTCCCGATAGCGTGAGGAGCTAATTGCCATGCAAAGCACAGCGGCCTGCGAGCAACGCGCCTCACGAAAGGCTACAGCCAAGGCTTGAGAAATGGGATGTCATTTCTGAAAAAGCTACATCCGTGCAAATTTTATTTTAGAGCGTTACTTTCTTTTTCCTCCCCCTCCCAGCAGCTTTCACGCAGAGACAGACAAAAACGCCTCTCTGAAAGGAGCTGCTTATTTATGTTTTCCCCTCCTTTCAAGGCTTTGCGTTAAGGAAAACAAGAACAACCTTCTGCGAAACCCCTCTTGCTTCAATTCTGTGCAGGCTTTCAGTGCTGCTGCTGTTTGCACCGTGCTAAGTGTTCTCACAAACTCCCCAAAAGTTACTGGATTTTCGATTCAATATAAACTAAGCACGATTGAAATCTGCACTCCTCGCAGCCCTTCCCATGGCACCGTCAGCCTCCGGGGAGGCTGTTCCAGAACCAGTGTTGCACCATGGTGGACACTGCGTTCACGGCTCCCTGGGACTGCTGGGGTTGTCCCTCTGGACTCATGTGCAGTTTGGGGCATTATACTGCAGATTAAAAGACAACAACAACAACAAAAGCCTGGATCTGAGAGTGTATCACAAATGTTTCTTTGACATACAATACTATAAAAGAAGAGATACAAACATGTGCCTATATATACCTATGTATGAAGTGCTATATGCACATTATCACTGGCCTCCCTGGTTATTGTTTGCCTGGTGGTCGTTACATGTTCAGAGGTGTATAGGTGCACACATCATTCATTGCGTCATACAGGTGTGCTTTTCCCTAGCCTTATTTTTGTTAGGACGGCCAGAGTTTTCCAGGAGGACATTTCCTGCTCTTTTTATTGTTCATATATGTGGAGTTTCTGCAATGTAGGCTTATGAAGACTCATTATCCACACCAAAGCTGTCCTTCAGTTGTTTCTCTGAAGAGATTTTTATACCTTCAAGTTGTGGAATAAAATGATGAAACTTAATAGTGAGGTGTGTCTGAAATTGGAGAGGTGACTTTTGGTGTGTGTGTGGTGTAGGCAGATCCGGTAAGCATTTTTTTGCAGAGCACATGCTCAGTAAGGGGTTTTAGACACCGTGGCTTAGCTTGCTGTTGATCTTATTATTCATGCCACATCCAAAACATTCTTCAGGGCATGACTTCATTGAACTTGGAATGGCTGGTGGGGCACAGTTCGACTCTGGACCTAAGAAAAGCTGGGCTGATTAAAAAGTAAGACCTGGACCTGGTTAAAAACTCTTTTTTTTTTTGTTTTGTTTTTGTTTCTAAAGAAATGCCCACAATTCTTATTCTGAATCAGGGATTAGATCTCTAGGTGTAGTTTTTATTCAGTCAACTATGTTCTCATTAAAAAGTATAGCAGTCTGATATTACTTTCAAAATGAAATTTTAAAACGTGTTCAGTTCAGCTGAGAAATGATGAGTTGATCAAAACACTTTACTCCAATGTCAAATAAAAAAAATAGATTTATAGAATAAAATGCAACCTAAATTAAGAAGGCATTGAAATAATATTGAAAGTTTCACTCTCATTCCAAATTTGGTAAATTTTAACTTATAAAAATATACTCTCTAAATGACAGTAAAAACAGAATCAGCCAAAATCAATAGATACATGCAGACATTTTCATAACTGGAGCATCCTAGAGGCAAAGGCTTCAGAATCAGAAGGGCCTGACCAGAATGGAATTTCAAATGGTGTTTCTCTTTTTAGCTCTCTAACTAACAAGAATGGCATTTCCATTTTGATGGGTGAAGTGAGACCCATCAGTGGTTTTT